GCTACAGTAACAAAACCAGCCAATTGGTTACCTGGTACCCAAACCAGAGATACAGAACCAATGAACAGAACAGAGCCTCAAAAAAGGATATACACACATCTACCACCATCCTCCTCTTTGACCAAACCTGACAAAAACAAGAACAGGGAAAGGATTCCCTATTAAATAAATGGTGCTGGACAAGACTGGCTAGCCACATGTAGAAAGGCTGAAACTGGATCCCTTCCTTACTCCTCTATAAAGATAATTCAAGTATGGATTAAAAAGACTTAAATGTTAGACCTAAAACATAAAAACCAGAATAAATCTAGGCCAATACCATTCCAGATATAGGCGCGTGGGCAAGGACATCACGACTAAAAACACCAAATAGGGAATGGCAAGCAGTGAAAGCCAAATAGACAAATGGATCTAATTAATTAACAAGCACTCTGAGCTTCTCGCACCAGCAAAATGAACTACATCATGAGTGAACAGGCCAACCTACAGAATGGGATAATAATATTTTGCAAATCTCAACCCATCGGACAAAGGGTAATATCAGAAGTCTAACAGAGAACTTAAACCTGATTACACAGAAAAAAAACTCCAAACAAGCCCCATCAAAAGTGGCAAATCCATATGAACAGAACCTCTCAAAAGAAGACATTTATGCCGTCCAAACAACACATAAAAAATGCCTCATCATCACTGGTGTCATCAAAGAAAATGCAAATCCAAAACCACATGAGATACCTCTCAACACCAGTTAGAATGGTGATCCATTAAAAAAGATCAGGAAACAAACAGGTGCTGGAGAGGCATGTGGAGAAATCAGAACACTTTTAACTGTTGGGGAGTTGCTAAACTGTGTAACCATTGTATGAAGCACAGTGTGGCGCAGATCCTCAAGGATCTAGATAGAAATACCACTTTGATCAGCCCATCATCCCATTACTGGGTATATATCCAAAGGATTATAAATCATGCTGCTATAAAGACACATGCACACGTATGTTTATTGTGGCACTATTCACAATAGCAAAGACTTGGAACCAACCTAAACGTCCATCAATGATAGACTGAATTAAGAAAATGTGGCACATACACACCATGGAATACTATGCAGCCATAAAAAAGGATGGGTTCATGTCCTTTGCTGGGACATGGATGAAGCTGGAAACCATCATTCCAAGCAAACTATTGCAAAGACAGAAAATCAAACACCGCATGTTCTCACTCATAGGTGGGAACTGAACAATGAGAACACTTGGACATAGGGTGGGGAACATCACACACCGGGGCCTGTTGTAGGGTGGGAGGAGTGGGGAGGGATAGCATTAGGAGAAATACCTAATATAAATGATGAGTTAATGGTTGCAGCACACCAACATGTCACATGTATACATATGTAACAAACCTGCACGTCATGCACATGTACTTTAGAACTTAAAGTATAATTTTAAAAAAATAAAAATTAAATTTAAAAAAAAGCTTCTGCATAGCAAAATAAGTAGTCAACGTAGTCAACACAGTAAACAGACAACCTACAGAATGGGAGAAAATATTTGCAAAGTATGTCTCCAATGAATGACTAATATTCAGGTTCTAGAAGGAACTCACACAACTCAATAAGAATAAAACAACTCCCCATTAAAAAGTGGGCAAAATACATGAACAGACATTTCTCAAAAGTAGACATATAAGTAGTCAACAAACTAACAATCCTGCAATTAAAACCACATTCAAACCACAATGAGATACCATCTCGTATCAGTCAGAGTGGCCATTATTAAAAAGTCAAAAAATAACTGATATTGGCAAGGATGTGGAGAAAAGGGAACACTTATACACTGTTGGTGGGGATGTAAATTAGTACAACTTCTGTCGATGTGGAAAACAGTATGGAGATCTCTTAAAGAACTAAAAATAGCACAACCATTTGACCCAGTAACTCCACTACTTGGTATCTACTCAAAGGAAAAGAAATAGTTCTATCAAAAAGATTCAGGTACTAGTACGTTTATTTCAGCACTATTTGTAATACCAAAGTCATGAAAGCAATCGAAGTGTCCATCAACAGATGATAGGATACAGAAAATGTAGTATATACCATGGACTACTATACAACCATAAAAAGAATGAAATTATGTTCTGTTTTGTTTTGTTTTCAGCAACATGAATGGTGCTGGAGGCCATTATTCTAAGTGAAATAACTCGGAAACAGGAAATTAAACACTCCATGTTCTCACTTATAAGTAGAAGCTAAACAATGGGTACACACAGACATGCAGAAGAAGATAATAAACACTGTGGATCCCAGGATGAAGGAGGCTGGTGGAGAGGGGGTGAGGGTTGAAAAATTACATATTCGGTATGATGTTCACTATTTGGGTGATGGGTATACTAGATGCCCAAATCCCAACACTATGCATATATATCCATGTAATAAACCTACACATTTATCCCCTGAATCTATAAAAATAAAAAAATTGTTAAATTAAAAAATATATATTTATATAAATATTTATGTAAGCTATTTAAGGTCAATATGGCATTTGTGCCAGGTGGGGTGGCTCACGCCTGTAATCCAAGCACTTTGGGAGGCCAAGGCAGGCAGATCACGAGGTCAGGAGTTCGAGACCAGCCTGGCCAACATAATGAAACCCTGTCTCTACTAAAAATAAAAAAATCAGCCAGGCGTGGTGGCGGGCAGCGCCTGTAATTCCAACTACTCGGGAGGCTGAGGCAGGAGAATCACTTGAACACGGGAGGTGGAGGTTGCAGTGAGCCAATATGGCGCCATTGCACTCCAGTCTGGGTGACAACAGTAAAACTCTATCCTGAAAATAAATAAATAGGCCAGGCGCGGTGGCTCAGGCCTGTAATCCCAGCACTTTGGGAGGCCGAGGCAGGCAAATCACGAGGTCAGGAGATCGAGACCATCCTGGCTAACACAGTGAAACCCCGTCTCTACTAAAAAATACAAAGCATTAGCCAGGCATGGTGGCGGACGCCTGTAGTCCCAGCTACTCAGGAGGCTGAGGCAGGAGAATGGCATGAACCCAGGAGGCAGAGCTTGCAGTGAGCCGAGATCGTGCCACTGCACTCCAGCCTAGGCGGTAGGGCAAGACTCCCTCTCAAAAAATAAATAAAAATAAATAATTAGTTAATAAAAAAATTAAATGGCATTTGTACAATTTGCACTATTTAGGCAATTTTTAATTTCATACATTGGATGCAGTTGGCATCTGTCTTTCAGCAACAAAAGTTCTACTATCACATAAAAGAGAAGAAGTTCCAACTGAAATATAAATCACTATTGGCTGAAAGCAAAAGCTTCTAGGTGTATTGTATCTTCAGAGGAATATTTCCAGAGGAAAAAGTGATCTTCTGTCAAATTCTAATTGAAGTATTTCTTACTTCTTAGTTATATAACTAGTCACCTTTTTTTTTTTTTTCCTTTTAAGAGACAGGTCTGATTCTGTCACCCAGGCCAGCATGCAGTGGCAACTTTTTTGCTCACTGAAGCCTCAAACTCCTAGGTTCAAGTCATCCTCCTGCCTGAGTCTCCTGAGTAGCTGGGAATACAGGTGGGTGCCACCAGGCCCAGCTAATATTTAATTTTTTGTACAGAAGGGGTCTCCCTATGTTGGCCAGGCTGGTCTTAAATTCCTGGCCTCAAGCGATTCTCCTGCCTCGGCCTCCAGAAGTGCTGGAATTACAGGTGTGAGCCACCAAGCATGGTTAGAATTACTGCACCCAGTAAGTCACTCATTCTAAATTGAATATGTGTTTCCACGATTATCAACTTTTGTTCATCTATACATTTATAAGTTGATAATTAAAAACTGACATGCAGCCAGGCACTGTGGTTCACACCTGTAATCCCAGTACTTTAGGAGGCCAAGGCAGGTGGATCACTTGAGCTCAGGAGTTTGAGACTAGTATGGGCAACCCAGGAAAGACCCCATCTCTACAAAATAAATAAATTATCTGGGTTTGGTGGTGCTTGCCTGTGGTCCCAGCTACTCAGGAGGCTGAGGTGGGAGGATAACTTGAGCCCAGGAAGTTCAGGCTGCAGTGAGCCATGATAGTGCCACTGCACTCCAGCCTGGGCAACAAAGTGAGACCTGTCTAAAAAAAAGCAAACTACAGATACATGTTTTATTTTCTCTCAGTATACCTCAAAAAGTAAATCAAGAAGCAGACTAGAATAAAATATATTGTTAAAAGTAATAGGAAACCTGGCTGGGCACGGTGGCTCACACCTGTAATTACAGCACGTTGGAAGACAAAGGCAGGCAGATCGCCTGAGGTCAGGAGTTTGAGACCAGCCTGACTAACATGGTGAAACTTTGTCTCTACTAAAAATACAAACAGAATTAGCTGTGTGTGGTGGCACACGCCTGTAGTCCCAGCTACTTGGGAGGTTGAGACATGAGAATCACTTGAACCCAGGAGGCAGAGGTTGTAGTGAGCCAAGATCATGCCACTGCACTCCAGCCTTTTTTTGAGGCAGTAATAGGAAACCTGAAGTCTGCAAAATGTCAAAGCATTAGACAAATGAGATTCCCCCAGCAGAGGTGTCAAAGCTTTATTATTCAAATATATGTAATCAATGAAATTTGAAAGCTTTTAGAAAAAATGATTTTCATCTCCATTTAGAGATGCTCTCAGAGCTTAGTGCATGTCAAGGTGCACATCCTACCATTCTGACTGACATAGTAAGCAAAGAAAACACTTCTTCAATGAAAAAATGAGCTGACTCATTTCTCCATCAGTGCATTATATGAGGCGGGACAACATTTCCTGCTGAGACTCATGGAGCAACTTCCAAAATTGAACTGCTCTTCCAAATGTAAACTACTTGAGGGATAGGGGGTGGCAAATAAATCACCTCTGGCTGAAAGTGGTTGAAGTGGAGAAGTAGATGAGGATGTCTTCCTTCGAACTAGGGTTAGGTGTACCACCTGCCCTGCATTTCGTAATACTTCAACAACATCTTGGTTGGCAAAACCCTGAATGTTCACGCCATTGACCTAAAACATCAAGAGAAACAGTAAACACAGGTTTCAAGTTAGCTACTATTTTTAGCTCTGGCAAAAATGAGGTAATTCCTTTCATTCCAAAAATAAATTATTTAGGCCAAGTATGGTGGCTCGCACCTGTAATCCCAGTACTTTGGTAGGCCAAGGTGGGTGGATCACCTGAGGTCAGGAGTTTGAGACCAGACTAGCCAACATGGCGAAACCCCATCTCTACTAAACACACAAAAATTAGCCAGGTGTGGTGGCAGACACCTGTAGACCCAGCTACTCGGGAGGCTGACGCAGGAGAATCGCTTGAACCTGGGAGGTAGTGGTTGGAGTGAGCCAAGATTGTGCCATTGCACTCCAGCCTGGGTGACAGAGCAAGACAAAGGAAGGAGGGAAGGAGGGAAGGAGGGAAGGAGGGAGGGAAGGAAGGAAGGAAGAAGGAAGGAAGGAAGGAAGGAAGGAAGGAAGAAAGAAGGAAGGAAGGTAGGAAGGAAGGAAGGAAGGAAGGAAGGAGGGAAGGAGAAGTGGGGAAGTGGTAAGGGGAAAAAGGGGGAAGGGGAAAGGGGGGAAGGGGGGAAGGAGGGAAAGGGGAAAGGAGGGAAGGGAGGAAGGAGGGAAGGAAGAAAGAAGGAAGGAAGGTAGGAAGGAAGGAAGGAAGGAAGGAAGGAGAAGGGGGGAAGTGGGGAAGTGGTAAGGGGAAAAAGGGGGAAGGGGAAAGGGGGGAAGGGGGGAAGGAGGGAAAGGGGAAAGGAGGGAAGGGAGGAAGGAGGGAAGGCAGAAGGAAGGGAAAGAAAGAGGAAGGGAGGGAAAGAAAGGGAAAGAAAGAGGAAGAAAAGAAAGAAAAAAGAAAAGTAAAGAAAAGAATTAATTTAGACCTTAGGATATATTTTTGAATAAGGATGTAAAACTAGTAAAATATGCTGAGAAACTTCCTCACACACTAGAAAGCAAATTCAAATTTGTCACTTAACTAATAGCCTGAGAGATATAAAGGACTTTAATCTCTGATGCAATTCAAAATTCAAAATGCCATAAAAGATGACCAGTTATTATACATAGCTCTCAAGATGTATTAATAGAAGCCATTATTATCAAAACTGAAGAAGTCATCTAATACTTCATCCCTCTATTCATATCACCACATGATATTTTCAAGAAACACACTGATCTCCCTCCAATAGGTCTTCTAGCTTTCTGAAAAAGTGTAAGCAAGAACAGTATTCTTAATCTATGTCAAGCCCAATTCCTGAAGTCTATCTGGACCAATAGGCTTCCTCTCTCAATCTTCTTTGAGCTAGCTATAAGTATTTCAACTTTCCCCATAAGGCTTTTAAAGCCAACAGTCATGAAATGTGCTTTCTTAGATAGATTTGAAGGACAAGGACTCAAATCATCCCACGCAGCATTTGTTTCTATGTTAAGCAATGTGTATGTATACATGTGTATAGACATTAATATAAGTGTATATATAAATTGAACTAATTCCTACTAAATGGGGGAAAGACCAGTTTTAATTGATAAAAGGTAATTATTACATTCTTAAATATGTAAAATACCTCAATTTTAGTTGTACTCATAATTATTAATAGAAAAACTACTTTCACAAAAAGATAAAAAGAGCTGGTTAATGGCCTATTATAGATAAAACGAGTGAGTTTAAAGAACACAGTGTGGTACTCGCAGGGTTTTCTAGAAGAATGCTAGAACATCTTTCAAACATACATGTATAGAAAAAATATATTTTTTTACCAATGTGTTTAGTGAATCCTTTATTTACTGACGGTGAAAAAAAATTTAATGTAGGAAGAAGAGTCCAAAATAATGAGATTTTACTGTATAACAAACTTAATTTTTTAAAAAACCTTATAAAACTATATTAAGCTATTCCTCCTCTCACATGTATTATAATAATGATCAACCTTTTTTTCAACTAGAATCAAACCTAAAACAGAGGCTAATTACTTACAGCAACTATTTTGTCATTCACTTGAATGTGGCCATTGTGGTACGCAGCACTGCCAGGTATTATACTTTTCACATAAATCCCTGAAGGTTCCCCTTAAGGTGCACAGACATACAGAAAAAGGAAGAAAATTCTAATTAGGCCTTGATTGCAAAATCTGTATCAAGAGGTTAATTAGCTAACGGGGTTGACTGGAGGTTTGATAAATACTATTTTGAACACAAGCAGAGAAATTGATGGATTATTTCAAACTGTCACCATCTCAAGTGACCCGAATTTGAAATGATTTGACTGATGACTACTCTTCTGGAAAAATAATCAGTAATGGAACCCTGATGAAATGTACTCTAATTTAAGCTGGAATTCAGGAGAGCCCAGAGTAAGTCTGACTCTCTCTTAGTCTGTCTCTACTCTTATTACTGATGTGGCATAACACTTCATCATTTTTTTTTTTACCATCACTATGACAAGAGTCTCCTAGGTCTTCCTGCCTATATTTAGATCACTGCTCATGTTAGCTTCACAGACACAGAAATAAGAAAACTATATATGATCTTTCTGTTTGTTTTTTTTTTTGAGGACGGAAGTTTTGCTCTTTGTCGCCCAGGGCCTGGAGTGCCAAGGCACGATCTCAGCTCACTGCAACCTTCCCCCTCCAGAGTTCAAGCGATTCTCTTGCCTCCTAAGTAGCTGGAATTACAGCGTGGCCCATCCACCACACCCCAGATAATTTTCATATTTTTAGTAGAGATGGGGTTTCACCATGGTTGGTCAGGCTGTCTCGAATCCTGACCTCAAGTTTGATCCATCCACTAGGCCTCCCAAAGTGCTGGATTACAGGTATGGAAGCTACCATGCCTGGCCCAGAAAAGCACATATGGTTCTTAACAACTAAAAAAAAAAAATAGTGCTGCGGTGCAGTTTGGTCAAGGCCTGTAATCCCAGCACTTTTGGGAGGCCGAGACGGGCGGATTCACGAGTCAGGAGATCGAGCACCCATCCTGGGCTTAAACACAGTGAACCCCGTCTCTTACTAAAAAAACACATAAAAAACTAGCGGCGAGGTGGGCAAGCACCTGTAGTCGCAGCTACTTGGGAGGCTGAGGCAGGAGAATGTGTGTGAACCAGGAAGGCGGAAGGCTTGCAGTGAGCTGAGATCCGGCCACTGCACTCAGCCCTGGGGCAAGACAGCCAGACTCTCCCTCCAAAAAAAAAAAAAAAAAAACAAAAAAAAAAAATTTAGTATGAGCTCAGCACATGAAATAATTTTACATATTACAAAATTAAAACACTGAAACAGACAAACGGGCTATAAAAAATTTTTTAATTTAAAATTAAACTTTAATTGTAAAGCATGCCTTCCCATGGGCGAAGGACAGAGGGAAACTGGAAAATAAACAACAATAGATCTGCATGATTTTACCCATTTTATTTCCAACTTAAACTCAAAAACATCTGTTTATTAGGCAGGGTGTAGTTTGTTCAGTTGTAATCCCAGCACTTTGGGAGGCTGGAGGTTAGGATCACCTGAGCTGGAACTTTTGAGGCAAGCCTGGGTGACATAGTAGGATGTCATCCCTACAAAAAATTTTAAAATTAGCTAAGTTGATGGTAATTGCCTGTGATTCCAGCTACTCTGGAGCTGAGGCCATGAGGAATCACCTGAGCCCAGGGAGCAAGGCTGTCTCTTAAAAAAAAAAAAAAAAAAATTCGGGGCGACCGGTGGCTCACACCTTATAATTCCCAGCCACATTGGGAAGGCGGAGGCAGACAGATCACTTGAGGTCAGGAGTTCAAGACCAGCCTGGCCAACATGGCAAAACCCTGTTTCTACTAAAGTACAAAAATTAGCTGGGCGTGATGGTGCACGTCTAATCCCAGCTACTTGGGAGGCTGAGGCAGGAGAATTGCTTGAACCCGGAAGGTGGAGGATGCAGTGAGCTGAGATCGTGCCACTGTACTCCAGCCTGGGCAACAGAGCGAGATTCTGTCTCAAAAAACAAAAAACAAAAACCAAAACAAAACAAAACAAAAAACTATAGAAGAAAAAATAAACATCAATTGCTTCCCATTGCCAACAAAATAATATACAAATTTCATAGAATCACATTCAAGGCCTTCCATAATCTGCCCAAATTTATTTTTTGCCTTCAATTTCCACTACAACTTTCCAAGAAAATAAGTCTGGACACACCAGGCTCTTATTACTATTTTTTTTGAAACAGGGCCTGGCTCTGTTGCCCAGGTTGCAGGTTGGTGTGTAGTGACACAATCATGGCTCACTGCAGCTTCTGCCTCCCCAGCTCAAGCGATCCTCCCACCTCAGCCTCCTGAGTAGCTGGGGCTACAATTTTTTTTATTTTTTGTAGAGACAGGGTTTCACCATGTTGCCCAAGCTGGTCTTGAACTTCTGGGCTCAAATGAGCCGCCAGCCTCAGCCTCCCAAAGTGCTGGGATTACAGGCATGAACCACCAAGCCTGGTCCACAGCACACACTTGACATTTCCCCAAAACAGCTGGCATTTTCATGATTTTACCTTTTCTCTAGCTTCTTTCTTCTAGTAAACTTTGACCTATCAAAACCCTTCTTCTTTTCCATTCATAGCTCAAATGCTGCCTTCTTTGTGAATTCTCCATTTCCCTCTGACAAACTGAATATGTCATCTGCCATACCATGATAGTTTGCTTGTACAGTAGGCCCCGCATATCTGCAGATTTCACATCTGCAGAATGTGAACCGGGTGTGGTGGTGCACACCTGTAGTCCCAGCTACTGGGGAGTCTGAGGCACAAGAGTCACTTGAACCTGGGAGGCAGAGGTTGCAGTGAGCTGAGATCATACCACTGCACTACAGCTCTGGGTGACAGAGCAAGACTCCATCTCAGAAAAGGAAAAAAAAAAAGATAATAATAATTTTTAAAAAAGAACTAAGTGTTTCTTACACATTTGTTTCCCTGAACAGACTTTTCTTATTCATTTTTCTACCCTCTCCAGAACTGCTCAAAAGTCCAACGAATAGAATACAGCAAAAATGATTTTCAAAGACTACTTGTTAAAAAGCATGTTGAGTTGTGTTTGGATTTACCTGCTCCCTACCACCCCTAACTACCCAGTCCAAAAAACTTTTGAGGGTAAAGAAATAAAATGGGCCAGGCATGGTGGCTCATGCCTGTAATTCAAGCACTTTGGGAGGCCAAGGCAGGTGGATCATCTGAGGTCATGAGTTTGAGACCACCCTGGCCAACATAGTGAAACCCTGTCTCTGCTAAAAATACAAAAATTATCTGGGCATGGTGGTGCCTGCCTGTAGTCCCAGCTACCCGAAGCCTGGGGTAGGAGAATCTCTTGAAACTGGGAAGTGGAGGTTGCAGTGAGCCAAGACTGTGCCACTGCACTCCAGCCTGGGCGACAGAGCGAGACTCCGTCTCAAAAAAAAAAAAAGAAGTAAAACAGTAAAAAGATACTTTCCTTTCTTCAGTAATGTAAACATGAAATTTTCTCAATGTTCTACCAGTCATTCACTTTCACTTAGGAACAAAATCATAAGTTTAGGAACTAATGATTCCTCTAACCACACTTAACATACTAAAAACTACTCGAAGTGGTTTTTTGCAACATTATTACACAATCCACACTGAGCTCTTTTGAATGTCATTAAATTCTGAACCTAAATAAAGGTGGCACCTAGAATCTAAAGATTTGAAAAAAGATATTTCATTAGGCTAAAATAGCACAAGGTGGTCTGACATGAATTTCATTCAGGACTTTGAATACATTAGCACTCTTAATCCTTCCACCTGCTGTAAATATGCAAAATAACAATTTTTTTAAGGAAATGAACTCTGCAATCTTGCTATTAAAAAAAACCAGAACGTTTCATAACTCTGAATTTTCATATTAGCAAGTATTTATGGAAAAGTTTATTTTTTCTTACCCTAATAATTATCTTAAAATAAAGGAATAAATCTTATAGTGAAAGTTACCAAAGCTTTGCAGATAGGAGTTGAGAGAGTTTTATTCAGAGATACTTGAACTGTGTATTTATTCTCATAGTTTATTCCTTTTACATGAAAGGAAAATAGTTCTAATGAAAATGCTTGTTTTAACTTTTTTTTTAGTGATAAAACATAACAGTCATACTTTGGGAACATTTACAATATGAAATATATACAGTAATCAATTTACTTATCACAAATCTAATCTAGCATAATATATTAACAATATTCATAATATAGCTATTTCACAAACAAAAGAAGGTACAATTCAAATATTACACACTGCGCTGGCCAATTATATTCTTTTGTTAATGGATATCACGCCAGCTATAAAACTACTGAGATAAAAATGTGACTCTGTAATCACTGAGAAGTGACTGGTTGCTAGCATAGATTCATGGTTTTATTGTTCAAGATTTAAATTAAAATCTGCAAGTATTTAATTTTACTATCTAGAAACCTTAACATCCTTTATGATTATTTCCAAATATAAAATAGAAATGATTCATTTACCTGTATGAGATGTTCCAACATAGCCAACGATTCTAATTCCAAGACTCTGCCCATCTTTTTTCACGAGCTCAACATTATAAGTTTCAAAAAGAGAACTGTCCTAAAGGAAAAACCAAATTTAATTATATATGCTTAGTGGCATACCTGTGTGTACATAGTCAATCTGTGCAAGGTTTGTCAAGTATTTTCTTAGTGCCTATGGTAGGCAGAATTTTAAGACAGTCCCATGACCTTCAATCCCTTGTGCTACTCCCATATTGATGCCATATTACATGGCAAAATGGAGATTATCCAGGTGGGCCTAATCTCATCACTGGAGTCCTTTAAAGGCAGAGTTTTCTCCTGCTGGTAGTAGAAAGGGAAATGAAAAAGATCTGAATCATTAAGGACTCAACTTGTGGTTTGAAGATGGAGGGACTCACGTGACAAGTAATGTAGGGGACCTTAAGGAGCCGAAAGAGGTCTCTGGCTGGCAGCCAACAAATAAAAAGGGACCTCAGTCCTACAGTTGCAAGGAACAAGATTCTGCCAACAATCCGAATGAGACTGGACGTGGACTATCCCCAGGGCATCCAGAAAAGAGCCCAGCCAGGCCCACACCTTGATTTTGGCCTTCGTAAGAAGCTAAGCAGAGGCCACGTACAGTGGCTCACACCTATAATCCCAGCATTTTGGGAGGCCAAGGCAGGCAGATCACCTGAGGTCAGGAGTTTGAGACCAGCCTGGCCAGCATGGTAAAACCCCGTCTCTACTAAAAATACAAAAATTAGCCAGGCGTGGTGGCACATGCCTGTAACCCCCACTGCTCCGGAGGCTGATACAGGAGAATTGCTTGAACCCAAGAGGCAGAGGCTGCAGTGAGCCGAGATCACGCCACTGCACTCCAGGCTGGGCAACAGAGCAAGACCCTGTCTCAAAAAAAAAAAAAAAAGAAAGAAAAAGAAAAAGAAAAAAAGAAGCAACAGCAGCTAAGCAGAGAGCCAAGCCAAGCCCACCCTGAATTCTGACCTACAGAACTGTGAACTAACAAAGGACATTGTTTTAAACCAGTAAATTTGTTATACAATAATAGAAAGCTAATATAACCACTTAGAAAAAAGTTAGGCTATATTTGCATCTGAAAGAACTACGAACATAAAGAAAAATTTAGAAACAAAACGTAAAACTAATTATTGTTCAGTAATATAAAAATATCGACCTAAAACTTATTTTATTTTCTTCTTTGTTGTTGGTTTTTTTGTTTTTTTTTTCCAGAGACAAAATCTTGCTCTGTCACCCAAGCAGGAGTGCAATGCAGCAATCATAGCTTATTGCAACCTCAAACTCCTGGCCTCAAGCAATCATCCCCCTTCAGCCTTCCAGGTAGCTGGGACTACAGGTGTGAGCTACTGCATCTGGCCCTAAAACTTATTTTCAATACTCGTCTTTTAAACTATTCTGTAAATGAGTAAGGTGTCTAAATACATAATACTTTGCTTTTAATTCAAAACATTAACATGAGAAAGTAAATAATTGATTCGATCAAGTTTCCACTTATCACATATCCACATTTGTCTCTCACTACAAAGTAGAAGGCTCTGGGGAACTAGAGTAATGGAGGAAAAAGAAAATGTAACCACAATTTGGAGAAACTTTTTTTTTTTTTTGAGACAGTCTTCCTCTGTCACCCAGGCTAGAGTGCAGTGGCAGGATCTCGGCTCACTGCAACCTCCACCTCCCGGGTTCAAGTGATTCTCCTGCCTCAGCCTCCTAAGTAGCTGGGATTACAAGCGTGTGCCACCACTCCTGGCTAATCTTTGTATTTTTAGTAGAATCGGGTTTCACCATGTTGGCCAGGCTGGTCTCGAACTCCTGGTCTCATGTGATCCACCTGCCTTAGCCTCCCAAAGTGCTGGGATTACAGGCGTGAGCCACCGAGCCCAGCTGGAGAAACTTTTTAAAGGTTCTGATATTTCAAATAGAAAACTTCCACTCATACAGTTCCAAGTAGAGAAAGGCAACAACTTCCCAGAATACACAGAATGACATCTCAGGTGATGATAATCAGTGGCCTTCCACCCTTTTCCACCATAATCATTTATCTTTCCTTTTGTTTTTGTTTCTTTCTTTTTTTAACAGAGTCTTGCCCTGTTGCCCAGGCTGGAGTGCAGTGACACAATCTCAGCTCACTGCAACCTCTGCCTCCTCGGTTGCAGTGACTCAGCCGGAGAATCCGGGACTACAGGTGTGCACCACATCTGGCTAATTTTTGTATTTTTAGTAGAGATTGGGTTTTGCCATGTTGGCCAGGCTGGTCTTGAACCCCTGACCCTAGGTGATCCACTCACCTTGGCCTCCCAAAGTGCTGGACTAGAGGCACGAGCCATCGCGTCCGGCCCATTTCTCTTTTCTTTCCTCTTCCTCCTGGACCCTCCCTTTAACACCTATTTCTGGCCAGTCATGGTGGCTCACGCCTGTAATCTCAGCACTTTGGGAGGCCAAGGTGGGCAGATCACCTGAGGTCGGAAGTTTGAGACCAGCCTGACCAACATGGGGAAACTCCATCTCTACTAAAGATACAAAATTAGCCAGGCGTGGTGGTGCATGCCTGTAATCCCAGCTATTCAGGAGGCTGAGGCAGGAGAATCGCTTGAACCTGGGAGGTGGAGGTTGCAGTGAGCCAAGATCGCGCTACTGCACTCCAACCTGGGCAACAAGAGCGAAACTCCGTCTCAAAAACAAAACAAAACAAGCAAACAAACAAAAAACCCATTTCTTTGCTTTTACTTTATTATGTCTTCACTAAAAGCCCATGTTGAGATAGTGGGAAGGAGCTTGGAATGGACCAGAAACATGTGAATTCAAATTCCAGTTCTGCAACTTACTCCCTATAAGGTCTTTAACATGATGTTTGACTTTATTTTCCTCATCTATTAAATGTACAATAAGGCCTATCTGGCAGAATTACTGTAAAGATTTCAGATGATCTGAACAATTCCAGGTGTTTGATAATTAAAAATAACTATTATTATTATATAACTAAAATAATTAGTATAATAAATATTATTATTGATATCCATTCCCTTTAGTCAGCCTGTGGCTACCAGTGATAATTCTCACACATCAGCCAGTGTTAACAGTTTTCCCTCCACCACCTGGATGTCTCCTCACCAGCTCAGTGAAATAGACAAGGCAAGTATTATTATTCTTCAATTTATAAATAAGTCACTGATGCTCAGGGAGGCTGAATGACTTAACCCTGAGAAACAGCGAAATAGAAAAACCAACATGTCTAATGTCTCCAAATGAGTTTTTTTATTTTCCTGTTTCACTGGTGAGCACACAACTCACACCAATGTGGTGCCTCAAGTTGAAAGAATTTCTTATCTTACAGTGTGTCACACCCAGGCTTTGATTTGAGATGAAAGAATGATATGTATAACTCACAGAACCAGGGCCTTTGCTGGCTACAGTAGGCAGGGCAACAGGTAAGGCTGCAGGGGCAGGAGGGGTGACTGAAATGTCACCAGCTGGATCTCTAGCAACGAGCATCCTGACTGAATTCCCACAGTTCCTTAGAACTTGTGCAACTTGCTCGCTGGTCATTCCCTGCACATTTGTGCCACCAATCTTCAAGATGTGGTCCCCTGTCTGGAGTCTTCCATCCTTCAATCCAAGAAAAAGACAAAATTATTTCGAGAAATCAATGCTCTAACTTCACTAGTTAATAACAGTTCATCAGATTTTTGGCTCTGGCAAAATGGCTGACAAAAAAGCCACCTAAAATGCTGAATAAAATGGAGTACTGTTAATAACTGGCTGAAATGGTGAGAGTAAAGGAATTTCACGTAGAACACAAAGGAAAGGCTCAAAATGAGAAAAGTAACCAGTATTCTAAAAAAGGCCTTTGCTTGAGGGTATAAGTTCATGCCTGATGGCCTAGAGTTGGGTGTTAATGGCCATGTGTGCAAGGAAAAGGACAGAAAAGCCAGGGCCTCAAGAAGGAAAGGTCAGAACAGAAGCCTCCAGCATAAAGCTGGGAACTTGAAAACCAACATCCTCAGTGACATGTTTGAGGAATAGAAAGATGCCAGTGCGGCTACAAGAAAATGAGAGAAAAAAAGAGTAATCTAAGAGATGGGAGACTTAACGGAGTTAGACAGTATAGGGCATCTTATTTGCATGATTGGGAAGAGAAGGCATTGAGTAGGATTTTGAAACAGAAGAGTGACATTACCTGACTGACTTTAACAACAGAATTCAAGCTTCTGTGCTTAAAATAAACTACAGAGGAGGAAACGAGAGAAGCAAAAATACGAGTTGGGAGGCCTTAGCAATAATTCACAATAGCTTGGGTGTGGTTCACAGCTGGGGTGTTCAGAAGTGACATTCTAGATAGATAGATAGATAGATAGATAAATAGATAGATAGATAGATAGATAGATAGATAGATAGATAGATTTTTGTTTTGTTTTGTTTTGTTTTTGAATCAGAATCTCATGCTCTGTCACCCAGGCTAGAGGGCAATGGCGCGATCTCGGCTCACTGCAACCTCCGCCTCCGGGGTTCAAGGGATTCTCCTGCCTCAGCCTCCTGAATAGCTGGGATTACAGGTGCGCAACACCACGCTTGGCTAATTGACTTGCCAAGGCTCACAAAGCATGATAAACG